AAGTCTGCATTTTTAAATTAGTGTCAGAAAGCCAAGCACATAATAAACTTGATTAGCTACATGATTAGATTAAAGGTGACTGAGCTTTACATTATGAACTCTTTCCAGGAGGAGAAAATGATCCCAAGGTTGTATCAAGTTTGAAATGGCAGTGGTTGATATTCTTTGATCAAAAGAGGCGTAATTTATAATGAGAGTGGAGTACAGGAGATTGGCTTGAAAATGGAGTCTGCCTTCCCCGGCCCTCTCACTGCTTTATGTTCACATACTTCCTTCTTTTCTGAGGTTCTGAAACAAAAACAAAACATGGTCAGACTGCAACTGCTGAAGGAGCTTTTGAATTCTTTCTAAAGAGGAAATTGACTTTACCTAACCAGTCTACTTCCTGAGTGTGCTGTATCCGTTAGAGGAGGAGCGTGATGGCATCAGTGGGGGTTTGAATATATTACAGTGCTCTGATGAAGGTGCCTTCATTCATTTTGGTGTCCGGAATGTGTTTATGAATCCCCTGGGGGTCTTGTGAAAAATGCTGCTTCTGATTCAGTAGTTCTGCGTGGAACATGAGAAAAGATGAGAATCAGCATTTCTAACATTCCAGGTGACCTATCCAAATCATATGGTATTCTCTCCTTGGGTCTTTTTTTTTGGGGGGGGCAGGGGAGGTTTTTGCTATAGGGCGCGTGTGCTTGCCAGAAAGACAGAGAGACAGAAAGCGAGAAATGACCCCCTGGGGGGGATGGCCATGCTGCAGTCCCTTCTCCATTCTCCTCTCGGGATCTTGGGCACGCATGCACACATGCCCAGCGTGAGTTTAAACCACTGGGTCTGGGACTTGAACTGTGATCGACTACATGGGAGTCCAGTGATGTAGCCATTATGCCATCTGCTGGTCCCTCTCCTTGGGTCTTTAAAAAAATTGTTTAGGGGCCAGCAGGTGGTATGGTGGTTAAGGTGTTGGACTTCTCCATGGCCAACAATTTATTGAGTCCCAGACTCAGAGGCTGGAAAATTACATCAGGCGCATGGGCATGCATGCCCAAAATTGCAGGGGAAAATGGAGAAGAAGGATTGCAGCATGGCCATCCCCCTTGCAGAGTAATTTTTCACTTTCTCTCTCACTGTCTCTGGCGAGTATATGCCTCCATAGGGCAGTCTTCAAGATGGGGCCAGCAGTAACATGGTGGCTAAGATACTGGATCCCATATGGCCGACCGAACAGTTCAAGTCCCAGACCTAGTGGCTTGAAAACCACGCTGGGTGCATGTGTAGGCATGCCAAAAATCCCTAGAGGAGAATGGAAGAGAAGTACTTGTGGTGTAGCCATCCCTCTTTGGGGTGATTGATTCCTCACTTTCCCCCTCTCTTTCTGGCAAGCACACACACCCTGTTATAAACAAGCAAACAAAAAGGATTCACAAAGAAGTCTGGCCTTTTAACCTGGTGGTTAAGTGAGCTGAATCCCACATGCTCTCCCATGTTTCAAATACCAGCCCCCCAGCAGCTTGAAAGACATGGCAGGTGCATGTGTGCGCATGATGAAAATTCCAGCAGGATGGTGAAATAGAGAAGGGATTTCAGTATGATCACAACCCATTGGAAGGATGATTTCTCCTTATCACTGTTTCTTTCTTTTTCTGTGGAGTGTATGAGCCCTCTGGCAAAGAAAAAATAAAGGAAAGAAAAGGGACTAGCAGGTGGTGTGGTGATTGGGGCACTGGAGTCCTGCATGGCTGACCATGGTTCAAGTCCGAGACCTGGCAGCTTGAAAAGTCACAAGTGCGTGTGTTGGTGCCCAAAATCTTAGGAGAATGGAGAAGGGGTTGCAGCGTGGTCATCTTCCCAGGGGTGATTTCTCACTTCCTCTCTCTCTCTGCATCTCTCTCTCTTTCTCTCTAGAGAGTGTGCGTGCACCCTCTGCCAAAAAAACTTTTACAAAAAGTCACAAAGAGCACCATAATTCAAAAAGGATTACGTCATCATCCAGCCCTGCTTCCTATAAGCCTCTTTAGATTTTAAATAAATTCTGAGTTTTTAGTACAATGTGGGCATTTTACTGGTGAAGTTTTTTAATTTTATTTTTTGTATTTTGGTTTTCTGATATGGGGAGAGGGTTCGTTTTCTTTATTCACGCTAGAGCACATGTGTGCAAGTGCTAGCCAGAGAGAGAGAGAGAGATGTACGAATACCTTCCACAGGATCTGGTCACCGCAGTCTCCTTTCTGTAGTCCTTCAACACATTATATCTAGGGCCTTGCCTGTGTGCCTTGCGTGTTTCAGGCTGACCAGCCAGGGATTTGAACTGAAGTCACCATGGGGATCCAGCATCTGTTGAGCAGCATATCACTGTTGTACCAAAGTTATGGTACTCTGCTTTTTACAGTAACATTAACTTTATTTTTTATTTTTATTTTTTGAGAGTGTTTTTGCTACAGGGCACATGTGTTTTCCAGAAAGACAGAGAGAGACAGAGAGACAGAAAGCGAGAAATCACCCCCCAGGGGGGATGGCCACACCTCACTCCCTACCCCATTTTCCTCTCAGGATCTTGGGCACACACGCACACGCGCCTGGCATGAGTTTTAGCCACTGGATCTGGAACTCGAACGACGGTCAACTACATGGGAGTCCAGCGACATAGTCATTATGCTAACTGCTGGTCCCACAGTAACATGAACTTTAACCCCCTTGTAATTAAAAAACTTTCATTTTTGTACTAAAGCATGTTATTAGGGGCCAGATGGTGGTGTAGCAGTAAAACCCAAGAGTTTGCAAGGCTGATGCACATGGATAGGTTCTGGGTTCTCCTCTGGAGAACTCCCTAAGTTCACTGGGCCTGTGCCTGTCCCTAATCTGGGCCTAAGACTGGGGGTAGATCATGGTGTCAGGACCTGTTGGGGCTGTCTCCCTCTCTCTTTGCCTCTGTCTCTCTCATTTATGGAAAGAATTAATTTTTTAAAATACTGTTGCCAAGAACTATAATATTTTATGCAAATAATCTTTTCTAACATTGATTTATCTGAGAACAACATACCAGTTATTTGATCAAAGTTTGCCGGAGGGCACATGCTCTAACAAGGGAGAGAGAGAGTGAGAGGAGGAAGGAGAAAGTATCCCCCTCACCCCTGCCACCATGGGCTAGGGGACTGCAATCCCTTTTCCTCCATTTCTCCATCCTGTTGGGACTATGGCATGTACACACATGTTCCAAGTGTCTTTTTAAGCCCCTGAGGCCAGAATTCAAACTGCACTGATAGCCATGTGGGATCTGGCTCCCTTAGCCATCAGGCCATGGGCTCGGCTCCCTGGGTATTTTAATTCATCATCACAGCAACTCTGTGAAGCAACCATTGTTACACTCATTTGGCAAGAAAATGGAGACATAGAGGACTTAGTGTCATCAAATTGACATAGTTTGTCAGTGATGGAACCAGGATTTGAGAACATCTGTCTGATGTGAAAGCCAATCCTGTGGTGATCTGCCAGCTTGTACAAATGAATCACAATGGGTTTATTAGTGAAAGGAAGATACACACAAACAAGGAAATATTATTCAGACATTAAAAAGGAAATCTGGGGCCACCAGGTGGTGTAGTGGTTAAGGCAGCGGATTCCTGCATGGAGAACTGTGTGATTTGAATCCCATACCTGGTGGCTTGAAAAATACACTGAGAGCATGTGTGTGCCCGCTCGAAATCAAGAGAGGTAAATGGAGAAGGGATCGTAGTGTGGCCATCACTCTGGGGAGTGATTTTTCATTCTCCCCTACCCTCAACCCCATCTCTCTCTGCTGAGGGCAAATGTCCTATAGCAAACTCAAAACAAAACAAAACAAATAAACAAAACAAATCCGTGGAAGCAGAAAAAAGAATGGTAGTTACCAGAGATGAGAGTAGGGGAAATAGCCAGGTGTTGGTCAGAGGACATAAAAAATATCAGTCATGGCGCCAGCAGATGGCATAGCAGTTGCGTCACTGGTCTCCCACATGGTTGACTGCAGTTTAAGTCTCAAACCCGGTGTCTTGAAAATCATGCCAGGCACATGTACATACATGCCTAGGATTCCGGGAGGAGAAGGGATTGTAGTGTGGCCATGTCCCCTGGGGGGTGATTTCTCACTTTCCCTCTCACTGTCTCTGCCCTTCTCCAGCGAGTGCATGCACCCTAAGACAAAAACCTCTTTAAAAAAAAAAAAATCCAGTAATGAAGGAGTAATAAATACTAGAGATACAATGAACAGGATAGGGAATATAATTAATAATACTATGTTGTATACTTTGAACTTGCTAAGAGAGGATTAGCAGGTGACTTGGTGGTTAAGGCTCAAGTCCTGCTTGGCTGACTGTGGTTCAAGTCTCAGACCTGGTAGCTTGCTTTCTCCCTTTCTCTATCTCTGGTAAGTGCATGTGCTCTATAGTGAATTTAAAAATAACAATAAAATAAAATGCATAATACTTTTAAAAAAGAGAAAGAAATTGCTAAGAGTGATCTTAAGTATTATCACCCCCACACAAAGCTAATCATGTAAAGAGATGAATATGTTAATTAACTTGAATATGTTAATCTGTTCACTGTGTATGTATATCAAAATATCATGATATATACTTAAATATATACAATTTCTTTTTTTTTTTTAAAGGTTTTTGCCATAGGATACGTGTGCTCACTGGAGAGAGAGAGACAGAGAGAGACAGTGAAAAGGAAAGTGAGAAATCACCCCCTGGGGGGATGACATTGCCTCAGTCCCTTTCCTACGCTCTCCTCTGGGGATTTTGAGCACACATGTGTAGGTGCCCAGCAATATTTTCTAACTGCCAGGTCCGGGACTCTAACCACAGTTAGCCATGTGGGAGTCCAGCACCTTAATCACTGAAATATATATAATTTCAATTAAAAATGTTAATGAGTTGAAGGTGATTGTATTGTGTCTTTAGATTTATTATAAGTAATAAAATCTCTTTTCTATAGATTCTGATTTTGTTTTTCATGTTATTTCTTTTCAGATCAAAGAAAGTGCATCACAAACAAGGGATGTCCTCAAACATCATTTCAGTGATTTAAAGGGAACACTTGGGAAGCTCCTGGATGAGCGATTGGTGACCCTTTTGCAAGAGGTGGACACCATTGAGCAGGAGACCATTAAGCCCCTGGATGACTGCCAGAAGCTCATAGAACACGGAGTTAACACTGCGGAGGACTTGGTTCGAGAAGGTAGGAGTCACGGGGGATCGTTCAGTGTGTTCATTCGGACTGACTCTGCTGATGGCTCAGGGTACCAGCAGGCTGCTTGCTTCCGTGGAATGCTTAGGATATCCCTATCTTGAGACAGTTTGTAATGTGGGATGGCAGATATACAGCGAGGTGTCCCAGGAAAAGTGTAGTTGAAATATTAGTTATATTCATTTATTAAATAATGAGGAGTAAATGTTTTTTCTTATGGTTCTATAATAATACAATATAATTCACTGTTAACAAAATGATTTTAAGGTCGTTTGTATTTTTGTAAGACCAAAAAAAAAACAATGATTTTAAGATCTTTTTTTTTTTTTTTGGAGAGGTTTTCGCTATAGGGTGCGTGCGCTCACCAGACAGACAGAGACAGAGAGACAGAAAGTGAGAAGTCACCCCCCAGGGGGGATGGTCACACCGCAATATCTTCTCCTCCATTCTCCTTTCAGGATCCTGGGCATGCACGCACACGCGCCTGGCGTGAGTTTTAAGCCACCGGGTCTGGGACGCGAACCGTCGTCGACTACGTGGGAGTCCAGCGACATAGCCATTACGCTAAATGCTGGCCCCTTAAGATCATTTTGAGTCTGTTCAAATATATTTTTAATTAGTTATTTAATTTTGTTCATCTATTTATTTATTTATTGATGGATAGGTTTTTGCTATAGGGCGTGTGTGCTTGCCAGAAAGAGAGAGACAGAAAGCGAGAAATCATCCCCTGGGGAGATGACCATGCCACAATCCCTTCTCCTCTTGGGATCTTGGGCATGTATGCACACATGCCCGGTGTGAGTTTAAGCCACCGGGTCCAGGACTCGAACCACGGTTGACTACGTGGGAGTCCAGTGATATAGCCATTATACCAACTGCTGGTCCCATCTGTTATTATTTTTTTTAATAATTGTCTATTAAATTCCATTTGCTATTATTATTTTTTAATTTGACCAGAGAGAGAGAGAGAAAGAGAGAGAGAGGGAGAGAGAGAGAAAGGGAAAGGGAGAAAGCAAGCTGCACGGTCCAGGACACGAAAGCAAGCTGCCAGGTCCAGGACTCAAACCATGGTTGGCTATGGGGAATCCAGTGCCCTCAATCATCATGCCACCTGCCAGTCCCATCATCTATTTATTTATGTTTTTATTTATATACTTATTTTTAATGCATTAAATGTGATTTCCCATCCAGAATATGCTGCATGGTGGCTTAATCATGCATGTTATTGTCAATAATTTTCCATTTCTAGTTTCATGCCCAGATCTTGCCTTTCTGCCTTCCCTTCTTTTGTGTCTGCCTTTCTTCCTTTTTTTAAATATAATTATTTATTTAATTTTATTTATTCATTCACTTATTTTAATTTGACCAGAGACAGATACACAGAGAGAGAGAGGAAAAGTGAGAAAGCAAGCCACCAGGCCCAGTACTTGAACCGCAGTTGGCCACGTGGGAGTTTAGCACCTTAACCACCACACCACCTGCTGGTCCCCTGCCTTTCTTCCTTTAACACAGGTCATTGTCAGGTTCATTAAATAACAAGGTAACAGTTCTGCTTTAGTCCGTCTGGAAAGTTATCAGGTAGCTTCCTCTTGGAGGAGCTGCACAGAGACTCGCAGAAGTTTATCAAGCAAACAAAGGAGAAAGGGAGTAACTACCCAGTTCTAAGCAAAAGTAATAACATCATCACACGTGAAATGAGTGACCTATTCAAGGATCTTTAAAAGTTTTTTTTTTAATTATTTAACATTATTTATTTATTTATTTATTTTTTAATTTGACCAGCGGAGAAGAGAGTAAGAAAAAGAGAGAGGGAAAGTCAGAAAGCAAGCCTCCAGGTCCGGGACTAGAACCACAGTCAACCAACCATGTAGGAGTCTAGCACCCTTAACCACTACACCACCTGCTGGGCCCTCAAGGATCTTTTTTTAAAAAAAAGAAATTTGGGACCAGTGATGGTGTAGTGGTTACGTCACTGAACTTCCACACACTGACTGCAGATTGAGTCCCGGACCCAGAGGCTTAAAACTCAGGCTGGGCGCATGTGCGTATATGCCTATGATCCTAAGAGGAGATGGAGGAGAAGGGATTGTGGTGTGGCCATCCCCCCTGGGGGATGATTTTATACTTTTTGTCTCTTTGTCTCTCCAGTGAGTGAATATGCCCTATAGCAAAAATCTCTAAAAACAAAAAAAAGCAAAAATCTTTCCATTTATTTTACTTATGATAGTACATATGCTATATGAGTACATGAGAGAAGCACCTTTTACAGGGTCTCATCATCCCTTGGTACCCCTTTCCCAGCCTTCAGCTCATCAGGATCCTGGTACACATGCACTTGCCAGTGGATTTTCAGGCCTGCCTGGGATTACTGTTAGCAATGTGGCTTCCAGCACTACAGTTCAGTTTGCTACAGATTATACCTTGACTTCAAAGATCTTTTAAAGTTTTTTTTTTTTTTTTTATCTGAGAGATTTTTGCTATAGGACACATATGCTTGCTAGAGAGACAGAAAATGAGAAATCACCTTTCAGGGGATATGGCCACACCACAATCCCTTCTCTTCCACTCATCACTCGGGATTTTGGGCATGCACGCACACATGCCTGGTGTGAGTTTCAAGCCATGTGGAAGTCCAGTGCCTCAACCACTACACTACCTGCTGATCCCTCTTTTAAAGCATTTTAAGTAGCAGAGTTACATAATCAGATTTGCATTTTTTAAAATGGTCCTGCCTTGGGGCCAGCAAGTGGTTTATTGGATGAGGTACTGTACTCCCATTTGACCCACCGCAATTCAAGTCCCAGACCCGGTGGCTTGCAACAGGCTAGATATGTGTGTGCACGTGCCTAATATCCCAGGAAGAAGATAGAGGAGAAGGGGTTGTGGTATGACCATCCCCCTGGGGGGGGTGATATCTCGCTTTCACTCTTGCCCTCTCTGTCTCTGCACTTCCCCACTCCTGTGAGTGCAAATGCCCTGAGACAAAAACCTCTTTATAAATAAACAAACAAACAAAGAAAATGACCCTGCCTATAATTTGAACACTGTATTAGAACCGATAAGACTAGAAGTAAAAGAAACTGTTTGGAAAGTTACATCAGTAGACCAGCCTGCAGAGTAGTGGTTAAGGTGGCTGGATCCTACATGGCTGACTGCATGATTATTTATTTATTTATTTATTTTGGGGGTGAGATTTTTGCTATATGGTACATTTGCTCGCTGGAAGGAGAGAGGCAGTGAGAATTAACACCCTAGGGGGGATGGTCACATCATAATCCCTTCTTCATTCTCCTGTTATGATTTTTGGCATGCATGCACATGCGCCTGGCATGAATTTTAGGCCACTGTGTTGGGACTTGAAGCATTGGTCGGCCACATGAGAATCCAGTACCCTAACCACTACACCATCTGCTTGCCCCTGACTAAATGATTTAAGTCTCAGACCTGCTTGACTTAGAAAACCATGCATGTGTACCCAGATTCTGAAAGGGGGTAAAATGGTATAGTAGGAATTGTAGGGTAACCATGCCCAATGAGGGTTGCTTTTTCACTTTTCATCTCTTGCTATATTCTCTGTCTCAGGTGAGTACACATCCCTTCTGGAATTTTTTTTTTAATTGTGTCAGTAATCCATGTGAGAAGTGGTAAAGGCACTAGTGAGTGAAGGTGAGGCAGGGCTGGTTTTAAGAGATTTTTCAGAAATAGAATTATTGAATTATTGATGATCTTACTGATCAGTGAAACCTTTTTTTTTTTTTTTTTGAGACGTTTTTGCTGTAGGATGTGTGTGCTCACCAGAGAGATAGAGTCAGAAAGCAAGAAATCACCCCCCTCAGAGGGGATGGCCACACCACAGTCCTGTCTCTTCTGTTCTCCTCTTTGAATATTAGGCACACACACACACGGCTAGCATAAGTTTCAAGCTACTGGGTCCAGGACTTGAGCCACAGTTTACCACAAGGGAATCCAGTGCCTTAACCACTACCCAACCTGCTGGCCCCATTTTTGTTTGTTTGTTTGTTTCAAATTTTTCCCATAGGGTGCGTACACTTGCTGGAGTGTGACAGAGAGGGACAGAGATAGGGAAAATGAGAAGTCATCCCAGGGGGATGGCCAAGCCACAATCCCTTTTCCTACCCATTCTCTTGAGATTTTGAGCACTCACATACACACACCCAGTGAGATTTTCCAGCTGCTGGGTCTGGATTTATACCATGATTGACCATGTCAGAGTCCAGTGACTTAACCACTATGCCACCTGGTGGCCCCAATCAGTGACTATTGATAATGATTACCTGGATATGGAATAGAGAAGAAAGGGAAGGATTTTGGATGCATAAATGGTGATGCCCTTTCCTGACATAGGAAATGAAGAGGGAGTTCCTTAGTGGGTAGTTAGGTGTTTGGTTTTGGGCATAGAGTTTGAGGTACTAAAGATGGAAATATGGAGGGAGATATCTGCAGATGTTAGTATGGCAGTTAAGGGCACGTACGTCCAGTCTGAATCCACGGGAATAAGTAAAATCCTTAAGAGCTACTGAGTAGAGCAGGCTTTGTGGTTTAGGACCAGAGTCCTGCACCCCAGGGCTACAGACCAGCATCGGTCCATGGCCTGTTAGGAACTGGGCCACACAGCAGGAAGTGAGCAGTGGGCAAGTGAGCAAGTGAAGTTGCATTATCTATTGGGTTGTTGGAAAAGTCAGTATGCATTTTTGCATAGAAAAACGCATCATGACATTTCCTACAACCCAATGTGTGCTTTTTTCTTTAGTTCCTACTATAGGTTCTTACCAGAGGGAGAAAATAAGAAATCACCACTCCAGAGTGGTGACCATGCTGCAGTCCCTTCTCTTCTCCATTCTCCTCTTGGGATTTTGGGCATGTGTTCACACACATGTCCAGTGTGACTTTCAAGCCCCCAGGTCTGGGACTCAAACCATGAAGTCAGCATGTGGGATCCAACCGCCTGCTGCTATGGTCAGTGGCAAAACCTCCATGCCACCTGCTGCCCGTTTTATTTCATTATACATTACAGTGCCATAATAAGAAATGAAGTGCACTATTAATGTAATGAGCTTGAATTATCCCGAAACCTGTCCCCTGCAGTCCGTGGAAAAATTGTCTTCCATTAGCCAGTCCCTATTGCCAAAAAGGTTGGAGAACTCTGGTTTAAGAAGCTATCAACAGGGGCTGGCAGGTGGCATAGTGGTTGGTGGTGCTGGACACCCACATATTCAACCACAGTTTGAGTCCCAGACCTGGCAGCTTCCTTTCTCACTTTCTGTCTCTGTCTCACTTTTGCCCATCACTGGTCAAATTTAAATTAACTAATTAATTCAATAAAATAATTCTTTTTTTAAAGAATTATTATTTTATTGAACTTTATTCATTACTTATTTATTTATTTTAAGGGATAGAGAGAGAAAAAGAGAGAGAAGGGGGAAAGTGAGAAAGCAAGCCACCAGGTCCAGGACTCAAACCACGGTCGGCCATGTGGGAGTCCAGCGCCCTTTACCACCATGCCATCTACTGGTCCCAAATAAGAGAACTCTTAAAAAAAAATTTGAAAAAAAAAAAAAAAAGAAGCTAGCTATCAGTAGGATCCTTTATGGCTGATTGTGGTTCAAGTCCCAGCCCTGGTATTCATGAAAGACTGATAGGCACATATATGTGAGTTCCCAAAATTCAGATAGGATGGAGAAATGCAGGGGAAATGACCACACTCCATTGTGGGGTGCTTTCTCCCTCCCTCTCTCCCTTCCCTCTCTCTCTCGGTCTCTCTCTGGTGAGTACACACACACGCTGCAAATTTAATAAATAAATAAATAAAATAAATAGATGCTGTATGATTTGAGAAAGCAGCTGACATACGGTAGAGCATTAAGGGATGCCAACATTTAATGAGCAGTTGGGGGTGAGAGAGCCAGGAAAGGAAGATTGGTACTGTAGGGTATATGTACTCACAGGAGATACAGAGACAGAGACACAGTGAGAAGTCACCCCCAGGGCTGGGGGAGGGAGAGATGGTCATGCCACAATCCCTTCTCCACCATTCTCCTCTCGGGATTTTGGACATGTACACACACATGCCCAGTGTGAATTTCAAGCAGTTGGCCATGTGGGAGGCCAGTGCCTTAACCACTACACCACCTGCTGGCCCCACTACTCATTTTGCAAAGTGCTTAGAGGTCAGAGAGATGTGAGAGCTTGTGGATGGTTCACAAGTCCGTCACTCCAGCTGGAAATGAATCTTACTTTAAGGAGTCAGGTGGTGCTATAGTAGTAGCACAATTACTTCGGCATGAGAAAGGTCCTAGGTTCATATCCAGGGATCTTCCTGAGCAGTTGGAGCACCCACACAGGCCCGTTATCCTGGCCAGCCGAAACTAGGAGTGGATTGGACCATAGGGGACCTTGTTGGAGGTTCCTGTCTTTCTTCCTGGCATATTTCTGTAAGCTGTGTTCTTTTTTTTTTAAGAATTATTTTTTTGGAAAACAAAACAAAACAAAACAAAACAAAAAAGGGAACCAGCAGTTAGCGTAATGGCTATGTCACTGGACTCCCACCTAGTCGACCGCGGTTTGCATCCCGGACCCGGTGGCTTAAAACTCACGCTGGGCGCGTTTGCGTGCATGCCCAAGATCCCAAGAGGAGAATGGAGAAGGGATCGCGGCGTGACCATCCCCCCTGGGGGGTGATTTCTCGCTTTCTGTCTCTATGTCTCTCTCTGTCTGTCTGGCGAGCGCACGCGCCCTATAGTGAAAACCTCTCAAAAAAAAAAAAAAAAAGAATTATTTTTTTGGGGACCTGTAGCTGGTGTAATGGCTATGGACTCCCATGTAGTGGACTGCAGTTTGAGTCCCGGACCCGGTGGCTTAAACTCACGCCGGGCGCATGTGCGTGCATGCCCAAGATCCCGAGAGGAGAATGAAGAAGAAGGGATTGCGGCGTGGCCATCCCCCCAGGGGGTGATTTCTTGTTTTCTGTCTCTCTTTCTCTGTCTGTCTCTCTGGTGAGCCCACGTACCCTATAGCAAAAATATCTCTTAAAAAAATTATTCTTTTGGGGACCAGCAGGTGGCATGGTGGTTAACGTGCTGGACACTCCCACATGGCTGACCATGGTTCAAGTCCTGGACCTGGTAGCTTGCTTTCTCACTTTCCTTCTCTCTCTCTGTGTGTATATCTCTCTCTCTGATCAAATTAAAATAAATGAATGAAAAAATAAAAAATAAATGAAGTTAAATAATACTTTTAAAAAATTATTCCTTTGGTTCCATTTAGAATATGGTACTAGGATTAACTTTAACATTTTTGTCTTTGGTAAGAAAATATAAAAAATCTTTTTTGCCACTGACCATAACAGTGCGTTTGAGAAAATTATTTTTAGCAGGACCACAGAATGTCTTTCCCTGGAGACTTTGCATCTGGAAACAAAGCCAGAAGTAGTTCAGCACAGGTCAGGAGTATACACCCATCACTGTGAGGCCCAAGAAATGTTTTTATTTTTGAAAATAAATCCTTTGGGACACAGACATGTTTGTTACAGTATTTGGTGCTTGAAGTTTTATAGACTCCAGTAATATTTTTAATTTCTAACTTTTTATCTAACCTTCTTCCTCCCAAGAAATAGAAACTTATGTATGGAATTTTAAGGATTTTGAGGCACTGTTGAATGTGTCTATTTCTTTTGGTGAAAAAGAATGGTCATATGACCTCAAAAAACTTGAGTTAACTCCAAGATACATTCAGGTGGAAAAGATTTCTGGCAGTGTTCTTCGGGGCAATGGGAGGACATGGAAGTTGGTTGTTTTCATATGCCTCTGTACGGCTTTTCTATTCTTCTGTTGAGTAATGTCTAATACTCTTTTAGGAAAATGTAACCACATCACTTAGCTTTTTAAGATCTTGTACCTTACTGTTCCTGTCAGGATAACATTTTTTATAGGCTCTTATTGGAGTTGATAAAGATTCTGTAGAAGAGCTGGGAAAAGTGTCTGGACCTTCTGCTTTGCATATAAAATTGGTTGACAAACAAGATTTTCTTGTATAGAGCAGAACTTTTCATTTCTGACAAAATGTTTCCATTATATACCCCTTTTCCTTTTGGGCTTAACCTTAAAGTCACTACTTTTATTTATTTATTTAGAAAAAAAATTTTGGGGGGATTTTTACTATAGGGCACGTATTCTTGCCAGAGAGACAAAAAATGAGAAAACACCCTTTGGGGGGATGACCATGCCACAATCCCTTTTCTCTTCTTGGAATTTTTGGCATGTGCACACTTGCACCCAGTGTGAGTTTCAAGCTGCTGGGTCCAGGACTCAAATTGCAGTCAACCATGTGGGAGTCCAGTATCCTTAACCACCACGTCACCTGCTAGCCCTCCAAAGTCACTTTTTTTAAAAAGATTTTATTTTACTCAACTTTATTTATTTATTTATTCTTATTTGACCAGAGAGAGACAGTGTGAGAAAGATAGAAAGGGAAAGTGAGAAAGCAAGCCATTATGCCTGGGACTCGAACCCCTGTCAGCCATGTGGGAGTCCAGTATCCTTAACCACCACGTCACCTGCTAGCCCTCCAAAGTCACTTTTTAAATAGTTTCTACTTTTACTTTTTGGGATTTAGCTGTGACATCATGTTTACAAAAAAACTGCATACACATATGGACATTACTTTATAAAGTGTTAGTTACTTTATAATGTGACCTTTTTTGCTATACTAGTTCTCTTATTCTTGATCGTAGGTGAAATCGCAATTCTTGGTGGTGTAGGAGAACACAATGAAAAACTGTGGAACTTTACCAAAAAGGCCTCACACATTCAGTTGGACAGGTAAAAGAGTTTGTGCCTTTGGGACTTTTTTTTCCTTTTTTTTTAAGAGGTTTTTGCCTTGTGGCACATGTGTTTCCCCAGAGAGAGAGAGAGAGAAAAGT